GTATAAAACCTTAGAATTCATACCCGGCACTGAAGATAAGTGAATAAATAAGTAAATAAATCTGCTTTCTGATAGTTAAAATGAAGACAGCTTGAGCTGTTTTTCAATTCATGTGCATTATATTTTATATCAATAGTTTTGCAAAAAACACCAACAAAAAGATTTGTCTAATTTCTTAATATGTTTAATTTTTCTCCAAGGGTGCACTAGGAGGCCTCCTTACTGGAATCACATTGTCATTTTTGGGGTTGCCATAGGGGGCTTTCATTTACCCTGCACCAGAGTCCAAGACATTACCTTACTCTATCAACAGAGAAGTGTGTCCAAACAAATATAACAACAACAGTAGGTCCACAGCTTTCTGACAGGTATGTTAACTTTAAAATTGTACTAAGTCTCAAAGTAGTTCAGTAAATATAGAGGAAAGACCTCTCAGAGATAGTTTGATGAACTAGCTCTTGCTCATCTAGATATGTTTGGCAATGAAGGGTACTGAGCAAGGCTGGCTATAAAGAGTTTTTTCATTTGGTTATTTCTATGTATTGAGGTAAACAAGAGTGAAAAGCAGTATAGTGGAGGGTTGTAGAACAGATCAAGGGTCATGGTGTTAGTGTGAAGTATATGAATGTTGCATTGTCTCTGTGTAGTCAATAAACTTTAGCTCCTATTCCATGAATAGTACTTAAAAGTCCCTTTGGAGTTTTCTGTCAGTTCATACATAGACAAGTGTCTGCCACATTTCCCCGAGTAATTCTGGAGTTAATGAACAATTGGTAGTAAATAATTGAAAAGGAATGGAAGACATCGCCCAGAACTTAGAGTGAACATAAAGTGATCGTGTCCTAAGTCATAAGCCCCTTTCTTCTAGGTGATGCACAGAGTTGATAACATGTGCTGTGTTTACTCCTCAGACCTGCCCTAGCTGATACATGGTACTCACTGTCCTACCTTTACTATAGTGCTTTGGGCTTTCTGGGATGCACAGTTGCTGGATTAATCATCAGCTTCGTGACAGGTGGGTTATCTGGAGTTCTCTCTTTGGGGTTTATTTCATTCAGATGTAGACTACATGGCAGCTTCACCAATTTATGTTTCTGAATCCACCACAAAAGTCCTCTTCTCAAAGAGATACACAGACTGTCTCTAAGATTCTAAGTTGATACCTCTGTTGCTGTCTGTCCCCCCACCCGGGTGTGTATGTGTGTGTGGGGGGGGGTGTGGGTGTCTGTCTGTCTGCTTAACAATCCAGAAAATAGGTAAGATATTATGAACTATGACTTCCACAATCATACCTGGGTATACCAAATTCTTTATAACATCAATTATGAAGGAAGACTAAATACTCAGTGTATTTCACCTGACTCCCAACACAATCCTATCTTGTATTCAGGGTTTCATTGTAGGGCTTTGAAGCTTATGCATTATGCATGGTGACTACAATGGGGAAAAGCAGGGGTTGCATTTGTTATGCTGTTCTCATAGCGTCAGTACCTTAGTACAAAATTACTTCTGTTCAGAAGAAGGGGAACCAAAGTTGCAATAAAAGTAGTAATAGTGGGGGCTGGGAGAGATACATGCAGTGGTTAAAAAACGTTGCTCTCCCAGAGGACCCAAGTTCAATTCCCAGCACCCATATCATAGTTCTCAACTGTCTATAACTTCAGTTCCAGGAGCTCTGATGCCTTTTTCTGGTCTCTGTGGGAATGCAGGGACATGATATATAGACATTAGTGCCGATAAATTCTATGGGTTGGTTTTAAATTAAATCCTTTGACATGATTTTCTGAGGTTTGCCCCACCCCCTCTCATTAAGACAAATGTACTAACAGCTTTCAGATCACAGGTAGCCACTTCCTTTCTGCATTATTTAATAATTAATATAAATTCCTTATCAATAACATGAGTCAAATGTACCTACTCAGTAGAAGGTACAAACTGACTGGCATAATACTATGAGACATGTTATGTGAACCTCAAAATATTGGACAGGCAGAACACTTTTGTCAGATATAACATCAGGCTGACAGAATCTGAAGAAGAAAGAAACATACTTTCTCTTGTTTCTTGAACTGGTCTGAAAATTTACTACTAGAGTCAAATTTTCAAATGATATGTTATTACTATTTAACTATAGTCCTGAACTTTCTTGACAACTTGTGAATTTATAACTGCTAGCTTGCAACTCTTTCACCATTATAACAATTTCTATAGATTCACCTCTGAAGCTTGTTTTCAGGCTTTGTTAAGAAAGAACCCATCCTCAAGTTGATATGCTTGTACTGAAATGGAAGGCCTGGAGGGGCTGAAGCCATTTAATACATCTTCTTTTTCTTAACAGGCAGGCAAAACGGCAAAGATATTGACCCACTTTTAATAAGACCAGTTTGCAATTTATTTTGCTTTTGGTCTAAGAAATACAAAACTCTGTGCTGGTGTGGAGTTCAGCATGACCAGGAAACAGAGCAGGTGAGTAGATACATATGCTTCTTTCTTTTTTAATTTATTATTTTACATGTCGATCCCAGTTCCATCTCCTTTCCTCCCTCCCCATCCTCTCTCCCTCCCTCTTACCCCTCTCTGCCCCCTCACATGCACCCTGACCACCTCCCCTCCCATCCCCCACACCAATTCCACTTGTAGGCCAATGCCATCCAGGTGGGATCACGTAGATCTGTCAGGGTCAGGTCATTTGAAGTGGGCATAAGGACTTCTCTCTCCTGTCTCTAGGGGGATGTGTCCTCAAGGTCCTTTTGTGCACCAGGGATGCATCCTGGTTCCACTGTCTGAGGTCCCTTAGACTGTTCAGTTGTTCTGGCTAAGACCCATCCATATTCAGGGGGGCCTGAGTCAATCCCATGCCGGGGTTTCCCACCTATCACGCTGGGGGCCCGTTAGCTCCTCCTTGTTCAGGTCAGCTGTCTCTATGTGTTTCTGCAACCTGGTCTTATCCTCTCCCTCTGCATCTGGATTCTAGTTCGACTCAGTGTTTAGGTATGGGTGTTTGCTTTTGTTTCCAACAGGTATTACATGAGGGCTCCATGGATAATTAGTTGTTGATCTCACTATCTGGGAAGGGCATTTATGATAGCCTTTCCAAGGTTGCTCAAATTGTTAGTTGGCAGCAGCAGTCTTGTAGGTCTCTAGACCTTTCTTTAGGTTCAGTTTTCTCTTCAAACCAACTTTTATGTTCTCTCTCTCTCTCTCCTGTCTTCTATTCCAGGGGTAGTGGGGGGGCAGTGAATGGAGAGAGAAGTAGGAGAAAGAGAGGGGGAGGAGAAGAAAGCATGTGGGACTAGGAAGATTGAGTCAGGGTAGGAATAAATACATATGTTTCTTAAAACAGGCATTGGCTCCAGGGGGAGAATACCCTTCCTGAACCCTACCACTAGGGGAGTTCCCATCTAACTCTGGGAGTGCCTTTTCTTTCCTAGCAACAATTCTGAGAGAAAGGGTTGTACGTATGGAAAGCAGTAAATGTCAACAGCTTGAAAGAATACATAATAGAAGACACAGAGAAATATGATAGTTGAGATGATGAGTTTGAGAGTCACACAACCTTGGGTCTACTGCTGGTTCCAAGTCCCATTTTCCTTTTGTTTAACTTTTATTACATGAGAACTAAGGGAGAATATACAGGATGACACAGACATAACTTTCTAATTCTCGAGGATATTATATTAGTCATTTTTGTCTATTACCTCTTACAAATATTCCTGTTAGGATGCCTCAAAGGAGGAGTTTTGGGATTTTGTAGTTGTTTGGTTTGATTTGGTTTGGTTTGTCCTCTCAGTTTCAAAGGGTTCATCCATTATTGTTTAGTAGCATGCATTTGAACATATTAGGAGGCTAATGGGAACATGTGAAGGAGGAGGCTGCTCACTTCCCACTGGGGGTGAAACAGAAAGGGAATGTAGGTAGGGATCAGAGAGAAATAATGCCCATGGGGAAAGCCTCCAGTGTCTTATTTCTTTCAATTGGGCCTCACCTCCTAAAGAGTCACAATCTTCCTCACAGCATCACCAACTGAAGTGAAAGTGAGAAACATTTCATATTCAAAGCACAATAGCTATAAATGTTGGTGGTATATTACAGTCAAAGAAACAGCAAAATAAAACCAACTTTATTAGCCTCTTTATCCTCCTGAAGTACATTTATGTTGGACCAATAGAGACTTTTAGAGAGTTGCATTCGCATCCAGTCAGGACCCACAATAAGTAGCTTGGGCTCTAAGTAAGTTGCACTGACTGAAAATGGAGCAAGCTAAGGGACTGCAGAAGAGCTAGACTATACTGACTCTCTTCAGGAGGGAGGCATAGTGTGCTGTTGTATGTTTTGAGCAGTGGAAGGATTATGAAGATGTTGAAGGAAAGTAGAAATGTATGGAAGCTATCTTGGTCATCCTTCAAAAATGTGCAGTAGTTACATAACCTGTCAAGACTGGCTTTTAAAATGTGTCTTTCCACATTCCTCAGGATTACCTTGACAATGACAGTGCCTGGAAACAGGGGGCTGAGTCTGCCCTACAGAATGGACTCAAGCAAGAAAGCCTGGCCCAGATTCCAGGCTACAACTCTAAAGACAAAAATTACAGCAACAGTGAGCAGAAGACTACTCATTTCTAGGACAATATATGCAACTGATAATACTCTCTCTCTCTCTCTCTCTCTCTCTCTCTCTCTCTCTCTCTCCAACACACACACACACTCTCACATACACAATACTCCATTTTTCCTCTTATAGAATCATGTGCAGATTCTTTTCCAGAAAAACAAAGATGTCCAATACCTCTTTTTATTTATTTATAGAAATGATAAGACTGTTTCTTGGGATATTCTTTGGAAATCCTCAAATTCAGGTGAGAAAAAACAGCCAAGGCCAGAAGTGCCTGATGCTACATAACTAAATCAGGACTGAGTTTTATCATTATGCAAGCAGTCAACATCTTTTTGCTTCCTATCAGATTAAATCTTAGGGGTTGTTGTTTGTTTGTAGGTTTTATGTTTTGCTTTGGTGCTGAGAATTAAGTACAGGACCTTATGCCTACAAAACACCTGCCTAACTATTGATCCTAGTCGACATTTTAAAGTTTTAATCATCAAAATAACCTAGTGCAGATAGAGACTAAAGAGACAGGGCAATCTCTATTCAATGCTTCTTTGACAGAGCTGACAAAACAGGGTTGACATCATCTCTAACCTCATGTCTTACATGTTTGTAGATAGGCGAACTTACCCATGCTTTCCATGTGGCTGCAGCTAGAACAATTAACTTCTAATAGTACTCTCACACTGCCTCCTTTATATACCCTGCAGTGATTCCTGCTGCTAAAGCTATTATAGCTAAAATTTAAAGATAATTATACTAAATAAATGAGGAGAAAAATCAGTTTTTCCCAGTTGGGTAAATCACATCTGAATACACTATTTACCTTGCACTGTTGAGAAAGTGTTTCTTCTTCATGTCTGTCAAGAACTACTTGACCTTTCAGAGGACTTGTGGTCAACTCAAGTAGCTTACAGCTGTCTGTAAATCCACCTCTAGAGAATCTGGTACCTTTTTGTGATCTCCATTGGTATTCACATTCATGTACACATAGCCACACACAGCCTTAGGTAGTCCTAAGGCTACCTCATCAATCAACACTTTCCTTAGAGTTATATTTAAAAGATTTTTTGTTCTTTTCAGTCTATATTTTTCTTAGAGTATTAGCAAAAGCACTCAATTGAAAATGACCTACAAACATTTTATTACAGAAATGGTGTAATCTCCTTTTTGTACAACTATAAGGCACAAGTAGAGAAAATATAAAGACCTTTTTGAACTCTGAGTAGAGGTTCCCTTTTACTCATTCAATAAAATAAGCCTTCATGTACAGAGCAGGAAGAAATCTGAAGAAGTAAACATATCACACAGGGTTGGGAATCATATTAATTGTGTGGTAAAGTGGAGGAAAATGACAATGTGCACAGTCAATAGGCTCAGCTAGTCCCAGCATTCCTACCCTGCCATCTCCTACTCTAGAAATGGCAGCTCAGAGTGGTGTTACAGGGACACATTTGCTGGAATTGGTTGAACTCAGGGCTGTTTTGTCTTATAATGTTCAGAGACTTCTCAACCCATTGTGTTGTGAGTGATGAGAAGTGGGAACAGTGCTAGACTCCATGCCTCTTATGTGTAATATGTATAATTTCAGACATTGGTGAGAATGAGAATGTCACTTTCACTTGATCTCATCAAACTCATTTATATGGCTGACATTCCCTGTGTTATGATTTGGAGCAAAATGTGTAGTTTTTTGGCTAACACAAGGTATCTAAGTCAAGTGACTTAGACTCAGACATGAGTTCTGACAAACTATCATGGTCATTTGGGGAAAAGACTTTTAAAAAATATTATTTTATTTATCAATTAAATTAATAGAGACTATTTTTACTTAATAGAATTATTGTGAGGACTTAACCCAGTGACTGACCCAATCAGAGATGAGTAATGCCACTGTGCAGTGTAAGAAGAAAATGATATTCATTTTAAATGTTTGTTTCACTATTTCTCTTTGAAGACATTGACTTAGTACATGCATTATTGGGGTGCTGTGGAAAAAAAAACACAACTAATGAGTGAAGCATAATTACAAATAAAAAATAATGTTCTGAATCCCAAACACTATTTTCTTAATGTTATTTAGAAAACATTATTAAAATTCTTACATCCCTAAAGAAGAAAGATCTCATCATTAAGACCCACAAGTTCACCACTGAGAACAAAATACTCTGTTGTGTTTCATTAATCCTTACATTTCTAAATGGCAGCTAGGAGCAAATACCTCAAGCTAAGATAATAACTCAGCACACGGAAGCAAGGGTGAATCTTAAAATAGTAATAGGAAAGTAGGATTTTATTTTTAAAATTCTAACAACATTTTCTGAGTAATTTAAGTCTTTGTGATGATAAAGGGTAACAAACTTTCAGTAGGAATAGAATAAGCCCTCATAAGCTGTGATACTTTCAAGAGTATTTATAAGTGAGTATTATTGAAATGTTTTCATGGTATTATGATCTGAGAATATAAAAAATAGACACATCAGAAAAAAATATGTTTTCTATCACCTGTTCTGTTAGCAATGAACTTTTTAAAAATATTATAGAAATTTTTACTGTGTTCATTTGTATATTTACAGATTCCATGTGCTTATAATCTAAATATTGTAAAGAAGATTTAATAAGGATTTAACTACCTTGCCTAATACTAAAAAACATTGTAACTTGATCCATTTCAAATTACTGTAATTCATTGGGTACCCAAGAGTGCCTATTGAAATATTAGAGCCTTCAAAATTAATTGTAACTTTTGATTGACTTAAAAACACTTGGGTTATTTTTATTTGTAGTTATTTGGAAGATTGAATGTTACAATTAAAACTCCCGAACAAGTCAATAAAAATGTGCAAATGTGAATACATAAGTGTATTTACGATAGAATAGTGTTTTGGTGTTTGAATTATCAGAAGTTTTCAGAATAGATTTACATTTACTAATATGTGGCTACTTAGTGGAAATATAACCATCACTGGGAGTTTCAGGTTTCCATTACAAAGTATAAAAGACATGCCTTGTCTTACAGAAGAAAAATGTGCAATGATAATAGTTCTTCTGCTTATCAATGGGAAATTTAATGAGATGTTTTTATATTTGTAAGGAGTATGGTTTTTCCGCCCGCCACCGCTGGCCTTGTCCTGCTCCGTGCCAGCCCCAATTAACACACAGAGACTCTGTATTAGATATAATTCTATTGGCCCGGTACTAGTTTCTTATCGGCTAGCTCTGTCTTAAGTATTAACCCATTTCTGCTGATCTATGTATTTCTCTTACCGGGGAGCCAGCCGGCATTCTGCTTTCTCCCGACTCTCCATCTTGGCTCCTCCTTAGTACTTCCTCTTTCCTCCTTATCTCCTAGTCCCGCCTATCTTGCTTTCCTATTGGCCAACAGTGCTTTATTCATTAACCAGTATGAGAAACATATACAGAATGACATCTCCCATCATCTCCTCTTTTCTGTCTAAAATAAAAGAAGGGTTTTAACCTTAACACAGAAATATATATATATCACAACAGTTATCAAGTAAGAATCACAGTTAACAATATTTAGTTCATTAACATTTAGCAAGATTAAAAGAAACTATTCTATCTTCTATCCTATATTTTTATGTCTAACATCTATGTAACTTATCTTTAAACCTAACTAAGGAAAACTATAAACATATCTGTCTTCAACTCCATCAAAGACCACAGAAGGATAATATATACACTCTAGAAATGACTGAGATATCTCACTGCCTGGCCACCCGAAGTTCTTTTGTAATCTTCCATCTTCAGCCCATAGGTCATAGTATGTCTGGAAGACTCTTCAGCAAAGCAGGAAACTTTAAACTGTCTTCTTGTATTGGCAGTTTGTCAATCACTTTCCTCTGTGTCCTGCAGACTGTCTGGCAGACTCTTCCATGAAGCAGGAATTCTATAGCAATGTCCATCTTGAATCAGCAATCACTTTTATGTGGGTCCTGCATGTCCAGTTTATACAGCATAACGTCAAACAGTCCAGACAAGAGCAGTATCTTGTCCAAATGGCTAGTCTTGCCATATTGAAAGTAAACTTCATAACGAGTTTCTTCAATGTCCATTTTCCTTTCTGACTCAAGTGGTGTTACCATGAGCATTTATGTCTCACTGTCAAGAAAAACCCTAAACCATTGTAAATGCCATATTCTGTAGGTCTTTGAAAGGTTTGAAGAATTCCTATCTCAAATACATCTCTATATATCTTGAGAAACCTAACTAACTTAATTCTAAGCTTTGACTATCATAGGTAATATCTATAATCTGTACTAAATTACACATTACATTTCTAAATGAGCTATATAAACACAATACCTAAATAAGAGAAATATACATATCACAAAATTGACCTTAAATTGTATCAATAAAGGAAAATCCATTCCAAAACAAAGTATTCATATCTATATCATAATTCCCTTTTACCTTTAAAAAGAATTGGCTGTGATCATTACCCATATATAACCAAGTCCATTTAAATGAAAATAAACATTTATAAATAATATTTTGGGATTTGGGCGTCGTTCTTTCCAAACTACTTCCTGCTGATAGGGGGCGCTGTCATGGGGATCCTAAGAAGCAGCAGATATCCTGGCTGTAGTCTGCACGGCTGCCTTGTTCAAACTGTTTTGAATGTTGGATCACCAGGAACTCTGTTTCAGGGGATCTGGCTTGATCAAACCATATTAGTCTGAAAGGAATCCACAGCTTTTCATTTTCTGTGGAAACAAAAATAGAAATCCTTTTCCCCAGTAACTTGTTCTTAGACTCTAAATTTTGGAGTCAAAGCATTTTTAAAATATATAAATTGAATTAATCCAGCAGTATTTCCTTTAACAGTTGTTTCCTCAGCAGTCAAACGATATAAAGACAATATAATGCCATACAGTACACAGATTCTCTCTGAGCTTTTCATTTTTACGTGGCTTTATTATTACTCTGTTTCTTTTACTTTTTACTTTTTATTTTTTTGAGTCAGG